TTAATGTAGATTGGGTACGATCTTTCACAGGAATAACGAAAATACGGCCACTACTACGTTCGTAGCCTCCAAATACCCACTTTTTATTGAAATGTTCTTTATTTGCTTTACAGAAAAAGAAAATGTATAAGATGACTTACTATTAATTTTTCAGTCGAAAAGTCGATATAAAAGTTAAATTATAAGTATCAAATATTAAATATTAAAATAGAAAAATCTAGTATATACGTTATACTTACGCAACTTTTAATAATTTGATGTAATAAGATCAGTAAATTTAGTGGTTCTTGCAAGAACAAAGTACAATGGTAAAAAACAGAATTCTATCCTTTTTTAATACTCTACATTTAAAAGAATAAAAGAACAACGCTCGGTACATTTTCAGAATCTAAATTTTGTGAGACTATTAAGAAAACATTTAAATTGCGAGTTTTCTTAGCATTACTTATATTACTTGGTGAAACATTTTCGCAGTCCAGTATTTTCAGGTTTTGTCATATGATGAATAAATACGTCGTCATTTACGTTCAAGTACCCCGTAGTGTATAATCCATAAAAAACTCCCATAAACGAAGGCAGTCCGGATCTGTAATGTTCCTTTCGCTGGTGTCTTGGATGGCTATATTGAATTAAAGAAATAAAATGCATTTTTAAAAATCCAAGAAAGCAGTAATAATGCGAATGAATAGAAAATATAATTAAATAAGTTCTATAGTTGCATTTTAAAATGCATTTCAATGTTCTTAGAGTATTAAATAAATGTAGTAAACATGTATTAAAGACACAAAGAATTGTTTGAGCTTAGAAGTTACGAGAATTTTAGAACAATACGAATACTACATGATTAATCAATTTTATAGCTGTTATACTTAAAGATTTGAAATTTTTTCGGAGTATATTAAGTTATTTTTCAGAATATTGGATTTGCACGAAAAAAAACATCCAAAAGGTATTTAATTCTCTGAGCAACATAACAAACGATATACATATACACACCTCAAGACAGGCATGAAATTCCTCATGATTACATTGCCGATCTTTATCCATTCCCAAGTTTGCTCCGCAAAAGCAGGGTATCCAGGACTCGAAATTAAAATATGTGGTCGAAGTTTTACTGCTAAAGGATCTGAGTAATAGAACATTTCTAATGACTCTTGTGTTACCACTACGCAATGCGTTAAAGCCGTAAAATCCTAATAATGGAGAAAAATATTGATACATTGTAGCATAATATGAACTTCTACATAAATGCTGGATAGATTCTTTCAGAAGCAGCATTACGTATATTTTTACTGTGTAATTATAGTTACATTATATTTTAATATATAATAAATATTGCATAGATAATTAATTGTCTAATTGCAAAGATAATCAATCGGTACTTAAATTTAACAATCGGATTTTATATAGACATTGAAAAGAAAGAAAAATTGTGTAAAAGTATGTTAATTACCCAATTTTCAACATCTTCATCTAATATTGTTCGAGATTCATTTCTGAATCTCGGTCAGTTCGTCACCGGCGTGATGGCAGCATCAGCCGGGTCGGATCGTGCAACGCCGCAGGAACGCTGCGCGCGCATGCCCGATCGCGACACGAGGCGACGGCGCTTCTTCACGTTCGTTACCGGCGCTTTTGGCTCATGGCTACCGTACATAGTACATACACGCGTCGTGTAGTGCAAAAGATTCTGAAGTGCTCTAGTGGACCTTCTCATCCGAGAACTGACTCAGTGAACATTTAGTGAACTCTCAGCAGTGCGAATCATCCCGGACAGCTCAAGATACAGCATCACGACAGCTCAGGCTCACCACGCAGCGCACGCCGGCACCGCGTGGACACGGCTCACGGGCATCTACATATCACGAGGCCGGCTCTCGATCAGTAATATCGAACCGTGCAAGTGATTCAAAGACTTCTCATTCCCGTCATACTCATAGACTTCTCAACTGTAAGCATACTGTGATTATTAAATCGTGATACGGCATTTTACTCAAACGATTCGAGTTACGATCACGTGATATTTCACCCTCTCACGCGTACATTCGTTCCTTGAGCCTCTCACCGCTAAGTCCTCTCACCCTGCTTCCATCCGCAGCGGTACCAGCGAACTCTCCTAGCGAGAATCGCTAACAAATATTAACACATCATTTCGATTTAGTATTGATTTGTCGGTAATTTCATATTCTGCTCGTATTAAACGCAAACTAGACTTCCGGAGACACCTGCGGAATATAATATTTTACTGAATATTTTGTTCATGGATAATATAAGAGAGAATTAGACATGAAAACTTGTTAGATACACACGTGTTTAGCCACTCAGCAGCTTCGTCGCCGCAATCAATAGATTTTATTAAAATCCAATTTGGTTCCAGTTTTGCCAACATTTTACGAGTTTTACTGGTTTTTTTATCTATATCAACGTTTAAAATTGGTGTATTAGGAAGAAAGACGAATTTGCCACCAGTCTCATGTAGGTCAATCGCTCTCAATATCAATATGGACTCCAGCTCTTGTCCGATTAAGAATCGGTTTGCCTTTTTGTCGTATACTCGGAACATTCTAGTTACATGTAATAAAAATTTAACATGATTTTCTCAACGGGTTGTATAAGATACAAATTTTTCATCTTTTAGCAGATTTCGTATGATTATGCTTCAATAAATTTGTTATTAAAATTATTAAATATATTTCTGCTTTTATACTTATACATATATGTTTAATTGGTTTACGAAAATTATAAACAGTGAAAGTAGTTAACAGGTAGCTTAAATTAATTAAATATCAAAGAGATTATGTAGTCAATACTTTGTACTGATCAATACTTATCAGCAAAAGGTATATTAAATCATAATTTATGCCTTCTACAATATAATAAGAATAAAAAAAATTTCGATTCTATACTTACTTATCCCAAAAAATCATTCCATCGTATTCCATAAATATTCCGCCTTGTGTAAATTTTAATGTATGCCAGGGTAAGGATTCACCCGTATCCACTGGGCATATGTTTAGCTTTTTGACGTGACCGACTTTAACCCAGTTTGGATTAGGCAATCCAGGTATTTCGGGATTAGGCAATCCAGGTATTTCGGGACAATCTTGTTCTGAATTGGAGTTCTGCGAATCGCTCTTTCCTTCCTTCAATTTTTCCTCCTTGCGAAATTTGGAAAAAATCTTTTTTCGCATGAGAAACGTTACAACTGCGCAGCTAGTAAGCAAGACTGCCGAACACAAACCCTAGAATTATAATTATTTACGAAAAATCATTATTGTGAAATCTTTATTGTGCAGAAACTTATTTATGTGTTGCTCATACCTTTAACAGTTTCATTGTAAACTGTTTTAAATTAGTTTGACTTGCAAGTTTTTGATCTACGCACTAATTGTGGGTTAAACAAGCCCAATCTGCAGTTAATATATATTACATCATTCAGAAGATTTCACCTGAAAATGTTGAATTAATTTAAAATAAAGAATTTAATTACGTTTGTATCTATTATAAATAGTTTCTATTAAGATACTTATGTGAGTATCCGTAATAGAGAGAACACTTCTAAACGACAGATATACACACATAGGTAATATACTTATATCAAGAGAGCCATATCTTAACTAGTTCTAGGAGTATTTGTGTTTTTACGTATCAATTACGATCTAAAATTTTGATTAAGGACCCAGTTACAATGATGTAAAACACAAATGCGTGTAGGAACCTTTAAGAATTTAATGGGTTAAACAAAAAATTTAACTAATTTTAATATAAATGTAACTAATTGAACACATACACGTTGGGACGAGACCTTTATTTTATTTATGCATCTATTATCATTTATGATAATAGAAGAATAAAGACTAATGTATATGCATGCATGCGAGTGTTTTCAAATACCGTCTTTTATTTTTATGTAATAAACTAAAACTATATGGGCCCATACATACAGAGCTGGCAACTAAAATTTGAAGAACAAAACAGTTCAACTTTGTCATTTTGCCGTTAATTTTAATCACTTTGTCTATTCAGTTTTTAGTTTCTATTACCTGTGGTAGTAAATTCACGATATCAAGGATTACAAATTGTGCAAAATATCCTCGTTTTTAACAAACTTTAATGCTCGTCTGGTGCACGCACTCAATCCGGTTAGAAGAGCTGTGGTAAACTGTGGAAAAGCCAAGGATCGCCGGTACGGGCCGCCACGTACAAATTTCCGTAACCGTAACTTCTTGACCAATCACGTTGCTCGATTTGGTTACGGGCGGCCGACCCTATACGTCCTTATTATTAGCTTACACGTTTCCTAATGTTTTCGCTCTCTTATAGCTAGAATGTGCACTACATGAGGAACTAATTGTGTACGAATAAACATTTCTGAAGGTTTGTAGATACAAACTCGGTTAGATTTCTCTACTCCAAAGAGATTTTTCAAGCGATTGAAAATGAACCGCGATCAGCTGTTTTTGCAATGTGCTTCTTCACTACTTTGACCTCAAGAAAACCGTAGCTGAAACGCATCGCTTCTTATTCAAAGTGTATGGTGATGAAATTCTACCGGACAGAACATGTAGGCCCTTATTTTGAACCCTTTTATCAATAAAAGCGCCTCTAGAAGTGACTAATAAGCCTTCTGATTAGCTAAAAGTCACTTTCAGAGGCGCTCTTATCGATAAAAGAGGATTTGGAATACGAGCCGTACAATGTGGTTTGAACGCTTTCGTAACGGTGATTTTGATGTGAGAGACAAAGAACCTGGATAGCCGAAAAAAAATTGGAAGATGTTGAGCTGCAAGAATTGCTCGATAGGAATCAAGCTCGACCTTATGTTGCGAAAAGCGTGAAGCAGACACTTCTAGAGCTTGAATGGGGAGTCCTCCCGCATCCAGCGTACTCTCCATACTTGGCACCGTCGAATTACCATCTCTTCCACTCGATGCAAGAGTTAGGAAGTCAAACATTGAGTGGATTAATGGATCGCCTCGAAAGACATCGCGTTTTACCGTCGTGATATTGCTCTGAGATAAGGTGTCACTTTCCTTTCGAAATGAATCACTTTTGGAGACGAAAAAACGGCAGGAATTAAGTTAACCACTTAATATTTACAGACTAGAATTATTGTACGTATTATTACAGACTACAATAATTACTGCCTCATGGACTGAGATCGCGTGCTCTACTACGTGCGTGTGTTAACTTTGCACCCCAACTTTAAAATTTTGTAGTTCTGACTGGAGTTCCCGCTTCTTTTTTAAGAGCTTAAGAGTTCCCAATACTTTATAAAAAGAGTTCTGCTGTTAAACGATCAGAAATTAAAATTTAAAAATCGGGTGCCAACTTCTTATCGAAATTTGAGATCGAATAGTTCTGAATGGTCTAATAGCTTCATTTTGCGATTATCTAGAGTTCCTAATACATAAAAAAATTTTTCGGTTAATTAAAAAAATAATAAAAATTTTTGAAAATTTTATTTTGAGATACAATAGTTCTAAGTGATTTATATCGTTATTACGTTTATTTCGAAGAGTTCTCGCTGACTAAAAAAATTTTAAACCGCAAATATAAAAAGTTACACACTTTAAATGACATTTTAGAAACTAGTAAAAAATGACGCGTATCTCTGAATTGAGTCACTTAAGCGCGATACGCCATAAGACTTTTTGTTAGAACTCGTCGAGAACTGCCTAGAACTCCACTCAGAACTACTCGGAAGTCTGAAAAATTTTTCGACCTCCGGACTTAGAAATGTTTCCGGAGGTCGAAAAATTTTTCAGAC